ATATATATATATATATATATTGTGCTTATAATATATGTTATTCACATTGAAATAATTACATAATTAACGATTCAGGATGTTCTAATTATTTGAGAGTCATACTTAGTTTACAACACTTTTTGTGTAGTCAATAACATTAAAGGAAGTTTTTTCTTATCAATTTAAAATAATAATTATTACAAAAAACGTTTGATTTATCAACAAATTTATCATATTATAATAAATGCATAATTATCAGTATTTTGCGTTATTAATTTTAGTTGATTATTGTTTATAATTATTATTAACATTAAATACTAATTAATTATTATTATTGTTACATTGATAATTATTCCAAATGTAAACCATTCATTGTTAAAAAACAGTGAAAAATTATCAGAGTTTAATTACATGAGAATGTCTCACGCTATTCAATTAATTAATTAATTAATTCTTGTTAAATATTATCTATTATTTTTCAAAATGTTTACACGTATTTATTTTAACCAACTAATATTTAAATTTAATTAAATGTATATGCAAACAATTGGATGCACGGTATGTATACATATATAAAATACATATACAAATGATATATAATATGCACATCAACATTGCTATAATGAATTTTCATTACAATTGGTACTGAGCGTGTTTCATATACATAATATATCTTATTGCCTAAAGTATTAATTATTATTAAACAATGTAATAACGTCCACTCGCTTGTTAATATTTACAACTATTAATATTTATATTTATCTGTATGACGTATCGTAAATCCGTATCATTTGTAATTTAATTAATTTAATTATTTTATCCAATGGTTTATTAATAAATTTATAGGTACATTTTTTTTAATTTACAGAATTTTTTTTATGAAAATTAAATATCATACTAAAGTTATCCGAAGTTTAATAATTTTTTTAATTAAATTACAACTAAAAAAATATTTTTTTAAAATTACATTTATAATTTTTACAGTTTTTTACATATTAAAATTTTTTTTTTTATTTATTTTATTGAAAAATTATTAAAAAAAAAATTTTTTTATGTAGAAAATTAAAAAATTTATAAGTGCAATTTTTTAAAAATATTTTAATTATAATTTAATTAATAAAAAAATAATTAAACTTCAGCTAATATTAATATCATAATTAAATTTAATAATAAAAATAATAAAACAAATTTAAATTTATTATTTTTCAAATTATTAATAAATTTTTTTATTAAATGCTCCTTATTAATGTACTACTCAAATATTTAATTATTCATTAAATCAAAATAATAAATTCTTAAAATAATTACCACAGTTAGAAAGGAGACAGTGGAATGAAGTTATTAATTATTAATTTTAATTATCTATGATTAATCAATTTTTATAAATGATTTCATTCCAGTTTTTAATCAACAATTCTTAAAAAAAAAAATAAAATGACTTTATACAGTCCTTACTTAGTAATAATAGTAATAATAATTACAATCTTTTAACAATAAAATGCACATATTTCTTTTAAATTAAACCCACTAATAAAATAAAATGATTATTATCACTTAATATTTAAATTTAGCTTTAATCTCATTACCTCGTACAGGAGTGACTTAAGTACATGCCACATTACAATAATTAATAACAAATAACTATTCGTTATATTTAAATAACTAACTTTATCAGTGGATCGGCGAAACTCAGCCCCTGATTTTTAATTTTAATCACAAATTATTTTATTATTTATTCTAACGTTAATTGAAAGCTGACGAAAAATTAAATTATACCTGCAAGCGAAATAAAATTCAAAAAAGAGTATTAAATATTTCCAACAGCTACAAAACCATCGATTGGCTAATCAATTAATCATCGGTTACTCAGTGACGGTGAAAAAAATTTTAAAATAGTTTTTATTAACACGAATTGTACGTTTTTTCATTTTTCATTTTTAATTACAACAATTATTATTATTATTATTATTATTATTACTAAATATTCCAGTGCGAAAGTAAAAAATATTGGAGAGTTGACATTTTTTTTTAATAAAACTTTTAAATTTTTTTATCAATAATTTACACTAAATTTAATAAATTTTTTTAAAGTGTCAGTAGAAAAAAATATTTGTATGTGTATTTATATTTACATTTAAACAGGATTTCTTTTATTTAAAACTTAATGCCGCCTTCAATATATTTTATATTACACATACTTAATAATTATTATTATAATTTTAATAAAATTCGGCTGTTTATTAAACAGTCGTTTGGCAATGCTATTGTCCCTAGCTATTATTTATTATTATTATTATTATTATTATTATTATTATTATCGTGTAAAAGTTTATTAATATTTTTTTTTATTATTTAAGACACACAACTGTACCGAATGTACATTGTTAATTACCGTTTATTTAATACTCAAATTGATTATCATATTTTAAAATCTAACGTGGAAGATATTTTATTTTCTTTTGCTATTTAGTGGATTATTATTATAATTATTATTATCCATTTTAAAAGTACATTATCTAATTAATTATTTTATTTTATAAGTTAGATTTATATAATATATTCATTTATATATTTATGTTTGTTAATAGCTATAATCATAGACGTAATATTTACTTAAAAAGATAATCTTCAATCTTCATTGTTTTTAAAGAAATATTCACGACAATAGAAGTAGGGCAGTATTAACTTTCTCGCCAAAATCTGACAATAAAATTCCAATTATAATTTTCCGTCTATAAATTTATAGCAATGATAAAAAAAAATAAACTTTTATAATTTATAATTTTAATCCTTTGGCACTGGCAGCAATTTTAAAAATCCCCGTCAAATAATCTTTCAAATCACCCGTTTATAATAATACAATTATTAAATACCGTGGACATGAAAAAACATTACGTTATTATTTAACACTTATGCGTTTAAGCAGTCTCACAAATAGGATATTTTATAAAGCCGTTGATTCGATATTTTATTTAGTATTAATATTTACCACGGGTATGTGAATTTTTATTCCCTAAATAATTGTTTAAAATACCCTTTTGTTTTATTAAATTTCCCATCAATTTATTATTTTATTTTTCTGTAAATCTTTAATTCGATTTCCAGCTTCTTTGCTCACTGTATATAATAATAATTATTCAATAAAAAATTCACATACCCTCAATATTGATGATACCAAAACCGGCAAGCTTTTATTAATCCTCAATAAAAAAATTTTAAATTCCAAAATAAATAAAATCATTGAAAGGTTTGCTATTTTCCGTACCATCAATATTGCAATCAATTAATAGTAATTATTTACAAATAGGGTCCACCATTTTTTTGAACGAAATTTTTTTTTGAAAAATACATAAAAAAATTAACAATTAAAAAAAAAATTGATTACTTCAATTTTAACAAATTTTCAAAAAAAGATAAAATAGAAATTTTATCCAAAAAAATATAAGCCAAAATTTTTTCCAACTTTTAAACTTTAAAAAAGCTATCAAAATCTTTATTTTATTTTTTCATGATATTTTTAATCATAAATGCGCCGTAAAAACAAGCAGAATAAAAAAAATAAAAAAATGTTAATTTTTCACTTAAATAGAGCTCACTTAATAAATAATTACCCAATCAATAATAGTTTACATACTAGTTAATAATAATAAATCTACCTTTTCCCAGATAGATTAAAAAGTAGTAACCGAAAAACAATTAACATTTTGTCTCAAGATTGGCCTTACGAATATCAATTGGCATGCTGAGCCTGTCGGTGTGCAAGGCTTTAAGGTCTGGAGCGGACAAGGAGACACTGTTAGATCTGTGATGGTGTTTCTGAATTTTAATCTGTTGTTTTTGCCGTGCAATTTCATCGAGAGATAGAATTTCCGTTCCAGTGGGTGAATATCTGAGCGTAGTTGCCTCACTGGTAGGCGAGGTCACGCAACTATCACCTACGCTGCGACTACGCGGTGTCGAGTGCGGCTTTTTAAGCTGATTAATGTTCAATGACAAACTGGCTTGGAGAGTCATTTTCTCCTGCGGCAGCCGAGCCTTGGGACTGTTGCTATCACTGAGACTGAGCGAGTCGCCAAATCGGGGACTTTTGGGCCTGGCACCATGCAGAGGACTCTCGGGACTCAGAGCAGTCGGAGAAGTATTCCCGAGAATCTTGGAGCTGGCTGCCAGTCTGCTGGCACAGGGCGAGTACTTGGACAGATTGTTAGAGTAGCTCGGAATCGGGCGGATGTTATTGTAGCAGTTGAGGTTTTGATTAACAGTTATCTTGTCAGGGCCGATGGTCAGCGAGGAGCGGTTGAACTGCTTCAGCGGGCTGACTGCGTTCGAGAATTTTTTGCTTTTTATCGACGCTCTGTCCACCGAATTGCTTTTGTCGTGTAATTTGACCTTATTGTCCCCGGTAATTACACCAGAGCCGGCATTTGTCGACTGGTTCTTCATATTTTTGCCACTCCATGAATTAATATCATTATCACCAATGTCATTGCACTTGTTTCCCCAGTTCAAGCTCTGCACACGCTGAGTCGCTTTGTTGCAACACCGTACCTTGCTTATTTTCACACAATGCGAGTCAGCGACAGAATTGTTAACTATAGAATTAAAATTAACTTGAACTGCTACAGTCTTTTTTTTAACTTTGCACAGATTGTCTTTGCCAGCGACTGGAGACGCCTCTTGCGAGATTAAATTGTCGGGACACTGAGAGCAATTCTCCACGTGGATCTTCACCATCACTGGCTGGCTGGTCTGCGTAGCTTCGTTCTGCCTTTCTGAAGCATTTGCAAGGTCGGTAGTGCTGGTGCTGATTGACTCGCTCACTTCGCTCAAATTTTGATTATCATCCGGATTGACCTCTTTAAGCGAGTAATTGGCCTTGGAAAAATCTTGATTATCTGGAGACTTTTTGTTATTTCTCTTGCGATTAAACAGATTAGGATTTTTCCTACCCTTTTGTTTGTTGTTAATAATAACAACTTGATTATCAGCCTTGGTAACCGATTGATCAATCGATGAACTTTTAGAGTACGAGTTGTTTATTATTTTATTATTATCTTTAGAGTCTTTAGAATCATCACATTTATTGTTTATATTAAGATTATTTGCTTGCTCTTCACAGAAAAAAAATACCTCGTCGCTTGATTCAGGTGACGGCTCGTCGTCGCAGAGTAACATGGCCCGGCTTATTGTATTTAGATAATTTGAAATAGACTTGTCGTGTTCTTCTTTATCTAAATTTGTCTGCTCGTCTTCTACGGGCTGTCCTACAGCTACGACGCTCTGCTGTTGGCTCTGGGAGCAGCTCAATCGACGTCAGTTTACCAACTCGACACTGACAAAGTGTTTCAATCTTTCTAGATATTGGTTGTACAGCTCGACATCATTGTGACCAGCTCCCTAAAAAATTATTATTTATATTATTTAGAAAATAAGATAAATTTTGTTTTCAAGATATTCATATGATAAAATCTGTTTCATTTCATTCTCTTCGGTAGTCAATTTATTATAAGTATTTAGGATGCACTCGAAAATTCTCTATCTCTAAATACATAATTAAGAAATGACCTTGTTTCTCGAGAACTATTGACATTTTTAATGATATAAGCTCATCCCGATGATATATACTCATCGAGATTTTTCATTTGAGTACCCACATGAATTTTTCATATATTTCATATATTTATATATATGTATATATGATAAATATATGAAAAATGCATGTGGGTACTCAAATGAAAGCTCTTGATGAGTGTAACATCGGGATGAGCTTATATCTTTAAAAATGTCAATAATTAAGAAATGACCTTGTAACTTGAGAACGATTGACATTTTTAATGATATAAGCTCATCCCGATGTTACACTCATCGAAACCTTTTATTTGAGTACCCACATCAATTTTTCATATATTTATATATATTATATATATATATGTATATATGAAAAATATATGAAAAATGCATGTGGGTAGTCAAATGAAAGGTCTTGATGAGTATAACATCAGGATGAGCTTATATCTTTAAAAATGTCAATATTTAAAAAAGTACAGTGAAATTTGACAAAAGTCATTATTTAATAAAGCAAAATTTTAATTTAATTATAAAAAAAAAAATTATTTAAATTTCTTTCTGTATAATTAATTTTAAAAAATAAAATAAAATAATTTACCTCAACCCAGAGTGGCTCAACAGCTTTAGGACATCTTTCATATATCGCTAAACCATGGCTGATATTAATGACATCATCCTCCGTGCCGTGAATCACCAAGACAGGTGACATTACTTTGGGTACTTTGTCTATGCTGCAGAACAAAGAAAAATAAAATAAACATTCACAGAAATGCAATTATCAAAGCAGGAAATAAATATAAAAAAAAAAAAAAAACTTACCTAAGAAAAGCGTCAAAGAACCAAGTCCTCTTGGTGTTAGGAAAGGCGACCCTCATCCCGGACATCAGCGGTGAGTGAAGAATAACAGCTCCTACCTCATATCTCGCAGCCAAATCAACAGTCGGAACTGTTCCGATGCTCTGACCATACAGAATAATATTTTCCGGGCTGATGCCATATCTGGTCCTGAGAGCGTGCCAAGCAGCGTCGATATCCGCGTAGAGATTCTTTTCCGAGGGTTTTCCCCCAGAGACTCCGTAGCCGGAGTAGTCGTAGCTGAATATGTTGCAGTTGATCCTGGAGCCAAGTCCCAAGTAGAAGCTTGACATCTGGCCCAGGTCCACCGCATTGCCATGGGAGAAAAGAATCGTAAACCTGGCAGTCGCTGAACACCTCACGAACAGACACGCAATTCGGTTTCCTCTGGATGTCCTTGCGTAGAATCCTTCAATGGACTCTTTTTCACGTTCCGTGTAGTGCCACTCGGCTCTTTTTGATAAAGATATCGTGAACTTGGAGCCTTCGTCTTCTAAAAAGCTGTAGGTGGGTTCTGGAGGTGCGAACGCCAGTTTGGCGACTATCCTGGACGGACAAGGCGGACAGCAGAAAAGGGAGCAAAACTCGCCCAGTGAATTCATAATTATTGAATTTTTTTAAAAACTTTTGGGTAAATAATAAAATTTATTGCGCTTCAGTAATTACTTCCAGGACAATTAACCAACCACTCGCGGAAGCACTTGAAATATATCACTTACCCTGGTTCATCAGCATAAGCACCCACCCACACATCTACGCACCTGTTATTGTTTATTATTTTTTTTAAAAGTCAAGTGGTACTGCTGCACTGATGACGATGACAATAATAATTACAACAATAATAATAAGAAAAATAATAATAATACTTGGTAAATTATCACCAATAATCACTTACTTAAACAACACAATGAAGTATGTATGTTACGCCTATTGACTCAGCTGTACCAGCATCAGCATAGTTTATTATCGTGTATTGTAACTCGTAACGAAAATGTTCCTTGTAGCTATGTACCAGATTATTGTAAATGATGGTGGTGATTTGGTGATGGCGAGAGTGAGTCAGCCATGACATCTCCAGTCTTTTACTTTTACCTGCTTTTATATACCATCCACTATAGTTAAAAAATAAAATATATAAATACCCACTGGATTTACTGTATTTACTGATGGTGATGTGGGATTTTCTTTTTGGACTTTGTACTCATTAATTAATTAATTCAATTATTCATTTATTGGGCTTCGATTATTTATAGGCACTACTCCAATTATCTTTTATTTATTTGTTATTTAATAAATATAAATACCGATAGAGACATTTTGTTTGACAGGTTGGTAGAGTGAAAGATTTTTTGTTTTTCGCCGGAGATTTACGAGTTTGCCCGAATTTTGAATTATAAAATTTTAATTAATTTTTTTTTAAGAAACTTGAGATTATTTTTTTTATAAATTTAATTTATTAATAGCACATAGAAAAACTTCAAACTGAAATTGACGCTGTCACTGACACGTTTAAAATTATTATTATTATTATTATTATTACACAACAATCCATCTATCGGCAAAATAGGTTTGATTAGTAAACTGACAGTCCGCTAGGTGGCGTTAGCGCTGAAATCTGTGGATAATAATTGGTAAGCACAGTGTGTGTCATTAATTTAGAGTTTGGAGCATACTACAAGTGCATTTTTCGAACTTGAAGCGAGAAGTTATTGTTTTGGGTGTTTGTTTTGCAAAATGAATTAAAATACCTGAAAGTAAGTACCAAATATTATTTAAAAAAATTATTTTTTAATTTTAATAATTATCTTAATGAATTATTAGTAATTAACAATCTAACGTTAGCCACTCCCTGCCCCTCCCATAATAAAACAACGATGAGTTTGATGACTAATCACTCAATTTCAAAACAACTCATCACTTAATTTCTAATTAAATTTTTTTAAATTGTGATATTGAAATTTTTTAGCAAAAAATGGAGTACCAAGTGCTACTGGCATGTCTGTTGATGTCAACAACATTGATTGTGGGTCAAAACATTTACCTCGACCAGACGCTCTTCAAGTGTCCCAAGTACTGGATAAGACACCAAGAGTCTTGCTATAAATTTGTGAGCAGCCCGATAAAAAGACGCGAAGAAGCACGGAAAATATGTGAGACGTATCAAAGTGACCTGACGTCAATAAACACCATAGAAGAGCACACGTATTTCCTGAAGGAGCTCCAGTGGCGAGACCCTCAGCACAGGACCTGGTACACGGGCGGAAAACTGCTCGGTGGATACTGGTCCAATGAAGCTGACGGGTCCTCTCTGTCAGCTGTGGAGACTGCCATATTCCCGGAGCCGAATGATGGGGTACTCCGCGAGTACCTCGCTTATAGTTACAGTCCGGGTCTCCAGAAATGGGGGCTTAAGAAAGTTACCGCGAATGAAGAGCATCTTTACATTTGCGAGGCTCATATTTCGAATTTGGCGAACCAAATCGAGGATGAAAGAGATTACACCTACGGAATAGAGATCGACAACCCGCTACGCATACCACGCGGTCCTTATTTCACTACTCAGCCTCAGTCTCAAGTCTACGACTCGGCAGAACAATACAAGCTGATTAACGAGGTGACTCTCAAGTGTCACGCTGAGGGATATCCGACTCCGACTTACGAGTGGTTTAGAGAGAATTATATTAATGGAAGGGCTCATGCGGAAGTGATTGATCCGCTGCGTGATAATAGGTAACTATGCTTATTAATTTTTGAAAAATAAATTAGCGGACATCTGAAAATTTTTGTAATTTTTTTTCTATAATTCTAGATACATAATTTAGAAATGACCTTGTGTCTTGTGAACTATTGACATTTTTAAAGATATAAGCTCATCCTAATGTTACACTCATCGAGACCTTTCATTTGAGTACCCACATGCATTTTTGATATATTTTTCATATATATATATATATATGAAATGTATGAAAAATTGATGTAGGTACTCAAATGAAAGCTCTTGATGAGTGTAACGTCGAGATGAGCTTATTTCTTTAAAAATGTCAATAATTAAGAAATGACCTTGTATCTCGTGAAGCATTGACATTTTTAAAGATATAAGCTCATCTTGACATTACACTCATCAAGACCTTTAATTTGAGTACCCACATCAATTTGTCATATATTTATATATATATTATATATATAAATATATGAAAAATATATGAAAATGCATGTGGGTACTCAAATGAAAGCTCTTGATTAGTGTAACATCAAGATGAGCTTATATCTTCAAAAATGTCAATAATAAAGAAAGTACAGTACAATTCTAACAAAAGTCATTATTTAATAAAGCAAAATGTTTTTATTTATAGTTTACAAGTCACGGCAGTCACATAGTGACTGCAAGGTTGCTAGTATTAATTAATTTAAAAAATTACAGGTATACAGTAACCGGAGGTAATTTGGTGATACACAAGCCCGTCCAAATACTAGACAGTGGGTCTTACCATTGCAAAGCCTCCAACAAATTCGGAACCATCATATCCGAGACTGTAAAAATAGAATTCAGTCAGATATTAGAGTTCAATTTGAAGAGATCTGAAGAGCGCGGAGACCAAAATTGGGGCAAGACTGTGTACTGTGACCCTCCAGTCCACTATCCCGACGTAAATTACTACTGGGCGCGTGACTACTATCCAAACTTTGTGGAACAAGATCAACGAGTGTTCGTCTCGAAAGACGGAGCTCTGTACTTCTCAGCATTGGAGCCGATCGACTCGGGAGTCTACTCCTGCAGTGTTCAGAGCACTGCTTCAAGAACCGGACGTCAAGGACCGTTTTTCCCGCTGAGAGTCGACCACCAGTCGTCGTTCCAGCAGATAAAGTTCGCCAACAACTTCCCCAAGACTTTCCCAGACACTCCAGTGGTAGGTGACAGTGTCACCTTCGAATGCGTGGCCTTTGGGTACCCGGTTCCTTCGTACAATTGGACACGTATTGGCGCTCCGATGCCTCGAGGCGCAACTTTTTCAAGCTGGAACCGCCTTCTAACTATCAACAACATCAAAATCGAGGACCAGGGTCCCTACGAGTGTCGCGCTTCGAATGGTCGAGGTGACATCGTCGGCCGAGTCGAGCTGTCTCTCCAAGCGAAGCCAAACTTCACTATTCCTCTGGAAGACAAACACGCCGATAAAGACCAAGATTTAACCTGGACTTGCGAAGCCTTCGGAGTTCCTGACGTCACTTACAGCTGGTTCAAAAACGCAGAGCTGCTTAATATCTTCGACCTTCCCTTAGAGGACAGAGATCGTTTTACTATTTACGACAATGTACTTAAGATCCAACGACTGGATCCTGAACGTGATCCTGGAATGTATCAGTGCTCTGCGACCAATGTACTTAAGACTGTATATTCTTCAGCCCAACTTCGAGTACTTTGTATGTATTTTTTTTATTAATTAATTTAATTTTAGATGCATAATTGAGAAATGACCTTGTATCTCGTGAAATATTGAACTTTTTAAAGATAAAAGCTCATTCTGATGTTACACTCATCAAGAGCTTTCATTTGAGTACTCACATCAATTTTTCATATATTTTGTATATTTATATATATGTATATATGAAAAATATATCAAAAATGCATGTGGATACTCAAATGAAAGCTCTTGATGAGTGTAACATCAATATGAGCTAATATCTTCAAGAATGTCAATATTTAAGAAAGTACAGTGCAATTTAACAAATATCTTGTGAACTATTGACATTTTTAAAGATATAAGCTCATCCCAATGTTACACTCATCGAGACCTTTCATTTGAGTACCCACATCAATTTTTAAAAATGCATGTGGATACTCAAATGAAAGCTCTTGATGAGTGTAACATCAATATGAGCTAATATCTTCAAGAATGTCAATATTTAAGAAAGTACAGTGCAATTTAACAAATATCTTGTGAACTATTGACATTTTTAAAGATATAAGCTCATCCCAATGTTACACTCATCGAGACCTTTCATTTGAGTACCCACATCAATTTTTCATATATTTTATATATTTATATATATGTATATATGAAAAATATATCAAAAATGGATGTGGGTACTCAAATGAAAGCTCTTGATGAGTATAACATCGGGATGAGCTTATATCTTTCAAAATGTCAATAGTTAAAAAATTACATTGCAATTGAACAAAAGTCATTATTTAATAAACCAAAATTTTATTCATTTATAGTTCACAATTTAAATTATGCAATATTAACTATTTTTCAGCAATGAAACCATCCTTTAAAAAACACCCTATGGAACCAGAAATTTACGCAGCAGAGCGTGGTAACGTCACAATAGTTTGTAACCCCGAAGCAGCGCCTCGGCCAAAATTCGTCTGGAAAAAAGACGGGAATATTATCGGCTCCGGTGGAAAAAGAACTATTTTAGAAAATGGTAACTTGATAATCACTCGAGTGTCGAAAGACGATGAAGGATTTTACGTTTGTGTCGCGTCTAATCAGTACGGAACTGACGAAAGTCGTGGACGACTTATTGTATTGCGTAAGTAATATTTTTACATTCCAGCCATTTTTATTCAATAAGCAATAAATAATTCATTCAATAATTAATATATAATTTATTTATAATAAAATCTAAAAAAAATATAATTATTTCTAGGTGGTCCTCAATTCATCGAACAACTGGGTCCAACAATATCAGTATCAGTGATGTACAACTGGACCCTGCGTTGCCAAGCAGACATAGACCCAATGCTAGACATCGCCTACGTGTGGAAGCACAACGGCCTTGAAATCCGCGAGAAGGACCTGGTGACCAACCCGCGGTACCAGATTTACGACGGAACTTTCCACTTGATAAACATCACCCTCTCAGACGCGGGAGAGTACGAGTGTGTGCTGAAGAGCGCAGTGGGTACCATCTCCAGCAAGTCGATAATGATAGTCTACGGTCCTCCCGGGCCACCTGGTGGAGTTGTCGTTAATATAATGAAGACTTCAGCATCTCTTGTATGGACCAACGGCGCCAAGAACGGCCGGGACATAATAATGTACTCAATAAGCGCCAGGACTTCTTACGGCGACTGGTTCACCATTGGGGACAATGTAACAGCTATAGAAGTCGACCGCTACACTGGGCGACAGCAAGCCGAGATAGAGAACGTCCTCATTCCTTTTACGACTTACGAATTTCGTGTAAAGGCTGCCAATGACCTGGGCTACGGCCCGTACTCTCTGCCTTCGCCTAAGTACTCTACTCCTTCTGCAAAACCTCAACACCCGCCGAAGAATGTCGGAGGCGGAGGCGGCAAAGTCGGAGAGCTGACCATCACCTGGGACCCATTGCCCCCGGCTTACCACAATGGTCGCAATGTTTACTACAAAATATTCTGGCGTCTTAAAGGAAAGGAGTACGAATTCCAGTCGCTCTTACTCAAGAACTACGGCAACATCGGGAGCTACGTCGTATCAATTTCTCCGGAGAATTATTTCCTAGAATATGAAGTCAAGGTCCAGGTGTTCAACGAAGTAGGCGAGGGACCCACGTCGGATATCGCGGTGGTCTACAGCGCCGAAGACCTGCCGATCGTCCAGCCGCAAGGCGTTTACGCGAACAGCTACAACAGCACCAGCTTGAATGTCACCTGGCAGCCGATCCCGGCGGTCAGGGAGTCACTCAAGGGCCGCCTGATTGGTCACCGTATTAAATACTGGCAAGCTAATAAGACAGAAGAAGAGAGTTCTTTCTTGCTGTCCCGTGGAGAGCGGAGCTGGTCGCTGATTGTCGGACTTCAGGCGGATACTGAGTACAATGTCAAGGTGATGGCTTATAATTCAGCTGGACCGGGTCCGGAGAGTGAAAGGTTCTTGCAGAGGACCTTCAGAAAAGCTCCCCAGAATCCACCGACCTCGGTGTTCCCCTACGAGGTCAATCCCTCGACCATTAGGGTCACTTGGCGGTTTGTACAGCCGGATTGGGGAGAGGAACCACTGGATGGGTTCAAAATACGCGTCTGGGAGGTCGATCAAGATATGAGCACTGCTAATGACACTATTGTCACAGCTGGGTCGAAGCTTGAGGCCTATGTCAGAAATCTCAGTCCTGGTAAGACTTATAATTTGAGAATTCTGGGATTCAGTAAAGGCGGAGATGGAAGAATGTCCAGTCCGCCGCTTACTTTCCAGATGGGAGATCCAGCGCAGTTTAGAAACTCGGCAGGTAAAGTTTTTCATGTCAGTATTGGGATTGTATTTTTAGTTTTTGTTTTGAGGCAACTGGCGCTTATTTAAGTTTTAAGATCTGATTTTTTGTTTACAAATTTATTTTTATGATTTGTAATTTTGATACAATTATTTTTGGTAATTATTTACAAGTAGGGTCTACTCTATTTTGGGCCATAAATAGGTGAATTTTTTTTTTTTTATTTATTTTTACGACGCATTTATTTTTAAACTTCTATTTTATCTTTTATTGATATGTTTTTTTTTTTTAGTACATAAAAAAACGGACAATTAAAAAAAAAAAAATTGATTAATTTGATAAGAAAAAAATTTTTTATGACCCAGAAAGAGTTGACCCTACTTGTAAATAATTACTTTATTTTTATACACTAATAACGAGCAAATAACTAAGTGTTCTTACGATAAATATTTTTAGATATTTACAATTGACTAAGGAGTATTAAATAGAATCTCAAAATCAACTTTTGTTGAAAAAAAAAAATTATTTTATTGGCATGCTGCAAAAAAAATTATTTTAATAATTAAACAAACTTAAAGTGAAAAATGATATTTTTTATACTAATACAGAATGCAAATATATATCATAGTAAATCACAAAACAAATTATTTTGTTGATGTTGATGTGATAGCTCGTAAGAATGCAGCATATTTCCGTCCATTTTTTTGTATATATTAAATAGTAATTTTAAGGTACTACGCAGCTATTAATGTTAATGATTTATATTGATATTGATAATAAATAAACAATAATCATATAAATACATTATGTATTTAATAAAATTTTATAAATTGAATTCCGTAATTGGAATACTGAATATATAATGCAGATTTATTTTAAATTGAATAAGTACTATAAATTATACTGGAGTACTTGCATCAAATACACTTTACTATTTAGAAAATTTACTGTTTTATTTATCAAATTAACTGCTCTTGATTTTTAAGAAATTTTATTATGACATTAAATTAAGCTGACACTTGACAATTTTTCTAACAAATAAATTTATTCAAAAAAATTATTTTTAATTTTTTTTTGCCATAATTTATTTGTTAAAAAATTTTTAAAATTATCAATTATCTACGAAATTAATTTTCATATTTTATTATAAGTTATTTTACATCGTACAAGCTCTAATAAATAAAAAATTAATTTTTATACTTACAATTTTGTTTTTATATTGATAAATAAATAAATAAATAAATAAAATATTTCAATAAATATTTATTTAATAATAAATGCTCTGATACACAGGATGAATGTCAATTTTAGGTATTTTAAATTAATAAAATTTGGTTACATTTTGATTAAAATACTAAAATCATAATAAAAAAAAATATCAATGTATGAAATGAATAGTATAACAATATATTAAAATGCTAAAAATAAATAAAATATTCTAGAGTGTAAAGTATTATAAATTAACATATACACAAATTATTTATATATATATTTATAAATATAAATATAATCAAGCATAATAAACTTTAAATTTTATAATTTTTTCTCAATAATTTATCATTTTTTATTTTAATAATTATTATTATATTTAAATTTATATATATATAAATAATCATCCACTAGCTGATCCGTCGACAATCATTTGAACACTTTTGAAACTACGGTACTAGTCTGCTAAACTAGTAAGTATTTGCAAAAAAATAGCCAATTATTCGCCGGCTTTTTTTTTTTTTTATAAATTCTGATCAAAAATATCAATTTTATTTTTTATTAATTTTAGTTCTGATATCGACTGGCGAATAAATGGCTTGTAACTTTTAATATTTAATTACTATACTTAAATCGGTTTAATCGATTTTTTATTTTAATAATAATAATAATGATTTTAAAATATACTTTTGACACAGAGTTGTCTTATTTATATTAAAGTCTACAATGGTGATAATTCTACTGCTGGAAGACCCATTTTCACTCGTAAACTCGGTACGTCTTCTTCTATTCTTACTAGTAATTTCATTTTCTGTAAGCAAAAATATTTTATTAATTAAATTAATTATATTTATTATTTGATTTGATGATATTAATAACCAGTTAATTTATTGAAGAAGAAATACTCACCGTACTAGTATCTCCAGGCGTTCTCATCCAGATATAAATCATGTATCCAGGAATACATAACATTGATGATAAAGCCGTAAACCAGCCGAATGCGTGTGACCACCATGGGTATTCATAATTTAGGTATTTAATTGGCGTCCATTGGATCAGATTAAAGAAGAATACACCCTGGTAAAATAATTAATTTTAATAAATAATTGAAAATTTTTTAATTTATTATAAGTATTTAGGCTGCATTCAAAAATTCTCTATCTCTAGATACATAATGAAGAAATGACCTTGTATCTTGTGAACTATTGAGATTTTTAATGATATAAGCTCATCCCGATGTTACACTCATCAAGACCTTTCATTTGAGTACCTACATCAATTTTTCATATATTTATATATATATATATATATT